CTCTTCTATGACCATGTGCTGACATTCGCGGACGAAGTGCGCCTGGTTTGGTTCGCTCCGTGCTCGCTCGCGAAGTATGCTTTTCTCTTCAACCGCTATCTCGTTTTGGGAACGCTCATTACTGTGGCATGTGGTGCGTGCTTCATTCTCACGTTGGATGCGACCCTTGTAGCTAAACAATGGCTGGTGCGTAGCAATGTGTGGCTTCGTCGGGAATGTGTTCACAGACGTTGTAAGTCTTCTATGAAGCCTTTTCTGCTCGGTGTACTCACTGGGAGCTCTAGGGGTAAGTTCACACCAAGCATTTGGCCGCACGATATTCAACAAGGTGCAGATGCAAGCATTTGATTTTCACAGTCTCTATGATTGCGGTCATCTCGATCGGTATCGCAAATATGCTTGTACTTCTTCGCGTTGTGATTTTATGGGATGAACGGCCGGTACGTCTGCAATCGAAATTCCTTGTAAATCTTTCTGAATAGTTTTCCAGGCGGTCTTGAAGTTGATGGTGGTGGCATACGCCGTGAGTCTGGTTGCTCAAGTGACCACTATCATTTTGACGCTCTTGCATATCCTGCGTGAGTGGCGGCTGGCCTTGTGCTTCAACGTGCTTATAGCCTTACGGGAATGATCATTTCAGCTGGCGTGACCTGGTCTTCCGTTGCGGGTATGTGTATCACGTCTCAAAGCTCGCATGTCATCGTCGCGGTTTGGGCATCGCCGGTAAGGACCGCTTATTCCAGATGGCGAACGGCTAGCTGATGTTTTTGCAGATGCTGTTCGAGCTATTTGTACTAATATCCACTGCGTTGAATGCGATTGACCGGCCAACTTCGGCACAGACGCCACTAGTAAGGGCGTTGTGTAGCGATGGTATCTTATACTTCATCGTGAGTGCCCAAACCGACTGGAATGAGCTCCTGCTCACTCAGTCCGACAGAGCGTGAGCACTCTGCGTGCTTTGAACGTCGCATTGGCAGGCGCGAGCTTGTCACGATCGTCATTCACCCTGCTCGGCGTATTGTAAGTGTATCATCATGCTGCACCCGTGCAATGCTGACGCTAATCCGATGACAACTGACAGTCTTGTATGGGCCATGACGACTACAATCATCAATCGTTCACTGCTTCAATTCCGCGTCAAGCAGGAGCCTATACACGATGACATCGCCCTCATGGAGCGGTCTACGTCGCCCAAAGGTGGGAGTAGGAGTAACAACAGCAGCTTCGACATAAGCAAGAACTTGAACATTGAGATCATCGAAGACAATGTTGCGGAGGTGGATGCGATGTGGGCGTCGCGATTAGAGAAGTCGTGGCACTACAAATGAGTGCGGACACAAGCATAGCATCTTGCTGGACACTGCTTGCGTTCTGTCTCCGATGTATCAGTACTAGCATATACGTCTTAAGAATATGGCGGTCGAGGCATTCTGTCCCTTGAACTCGCAATTGATCAAGAACGCTTTGCCAACTACGTAGCGCTATAGGAATACCAGTGACCAGCATGTAAGTTGACGGCGCTCGGAGGTGCCGTCCAGTCAGCTGGCGAGAATTACGTGTCGGTCCGTGTCGCCAGTTGCTAATTATGGTGCAACGATTGCCGTAGAAGGGAATTTGCGCACCGCCCCGGCGCATCAGACACACTCACACAGGACGAGCGTCAAGACGCTGAAACTGTCAGTCCGCCCGGATCAGGCTGCCATCATGCCGCCACATATATAAGCATGCGACCGACACCGCCTGTCTCCTTTTCGCGACGCCTGCGTTCCACAGCTCTCTTTCTTCTTCCTTTCCGCTTCCTTCTTTTCTTTCGTCGGAGGCTGGCCCTTCCTGCCGATTTCAGGACCTGGTGCACCTGAACATACGGCTTTTAGTCTCATCTTTTTACAGCTCGTATTTCTTGTTCCCCCGGAAACTGGACGGTCATCAGGATGGCTGAGGTTCAAACGATCCAGGGGACGGAGAACTATCTCTTGACGAAGGTGAAGTACACTGCGTCCGAGGCGCGCGGGGTAGCCGTAGAAGTCACTTTTGCGTGGCTCTCGGCTATGGCATGTGCACTTCTGTTGGGGGCTCTCGCCGTGCGTTCAATCTGTGTATGGGATGCAAGTGTGGTCGCTGAATGAAACGTTAGATCTCTGCGTGGAACACTCGCAAGTCTGTCAACCCACACCTCTTTGTGCGCAGCCACGTCGCTGCGTACTTCGTGTCTCTGCTATGGTGTGACTTGATGCAGGGTACGTCATACCTTATTTCACGTCGATCTATAGTATGGCTTGACACGAGCTCTCCAGCATTCGCGGCTATGCTCAGCGTAAGATGGCTCAGTGCGGGAGCTGTGACAATGGGACCATACTGCACATACCAGGGATTCCTCAAGCAGTCTGCGGACGTGTCTATGGCGATCTGGTGAGCTGAAGGGTCGTATTACCTCATCCATCCACTCACATCGAACGTCCACAGGACTGTAATGATCGCTCTGCACACTTTCCTTGTCGTTTTCCTCCGATGGAGCATGCGAAGGCGTTCTTTGTTTGTCATGTTTGTGACAGGGTGGGCCTTCGTCCTGCTTATCGTCATCATCGGTCCGGCTGGCTATAATAAGGAGCTGGGGCCTTTCTGTAGGTGCCAAAATTGCTATGGATTATGTGAAGTCTGACCAGAGGATGTGTATCAGACGCGATTAACGGATACTATTGCTGGATCAATGGCAATTACGGAAGTGAGCGCATCACGCTGGATCTCCTCTGGGTGCGTGCGATCTCTGGCATACTCACCTCGCGTACTAAACAAACCTCCAGCTTTTCCTGGGCGCCATTCTGGGCTTCTTGTTGTATGGCCTAGTTTTCCTCAACTTGCGAGGCAATGTTACTACGTCGGGAATCTACTTGCGTCGCGACTCGAGGATCGTCAGGATGGTCGATGAGGATAGTGTAGCCATCGCCAGACAAATGCTGATCTATCCCGTGAGTCCCATTCCAGCAGCTTGCAACATTCTCCGCTGAATGAACGGTTTGTAACAGGTTGCCTTCACTATTCTGATCATCCCGAATGCAGCAGTGCGCTTTGTGGCTTGGTCCGGAACGGCCGTCCCTGACGCAGCGAGCTCTTTCGCAGATACTGTGTTCCTTATGTGTGGTACGTTGCGATGTGTGCTCTCTCAGGCCGTCCTAGCACTCATTGACGGCGACATTCATCAGGTCTCGTTGATGTCCTGCTGTTCGTCCTGACTCGCCGCGTCCTCCCAGATCACAGCGTCATTCCGAAGGGCTACACACTCTGCTTCTGGCGCAAGAAAGATGCCGACAGTAGTCTGCAACGCTCCATCAGCGCTCGGCCTGTTATCGACCTGAACGCCGACCTTGAGAAGGCAGAAGGAACTGACAAGGCCGACGAGGGTACACTCAACGAGGAAGGCGTCTTCAAGCGTGCGGAAAGCCCCGACGATTCGGAGGACGATCACAACGGGTTCACAATTCGTGTCCAGAGCCAGGTGATTGATCGCATCCACCTGCAGCCCGGGTATGAAGGTCCTGCTTCGCCGCCTGGCCTGTCGCCTCAGCAGTCTGGCCGTTCACCGCAGTACTCTGGCCAAATGGAGGATGTCAATCTCGACAGTTCTCGTGGCATCCGTGTCCCTGACCACAGGGAGAGTGAATTCTTCGCCAGCGATCTACCACCGCTTCCCCCGTCCGCTCGCTCCGCTCACGGCAGCCCTGTCCCAGGAAGCGCTCGCTATGTCGGGAGCCCTATCCGGACTGGTACACCTGTACACAGCACTCGTTACGCTGAGGAGGCTCCCGCAACCGCTGCGTCCGCTCGCAGCCAGCGCTTCCGGCAAGATGAACATACGTTCCCGGAGCCTCTTCGCAGCCCGAGGTACACTGCAGAGGACTTACAGTCAATCCCCAGTCCGGCCCGTAGCCCTGGGTATCCGCAGGTGTATGCAATCCCAGAGCCCGAGCGAAGCCCCAGGTTCGCTGAGGAGGTCGTCCGTCACTTTGAGGAACTCCCAGCTGCCACGCCCCTCCGAAGCGCCTTCTTCCCTGAAGAGGACCGCCGCACCGCCAGCCCCATGCGCAATGTCCATGACGACCATGCCAACAACGGGAGCCGTGTCCCTACTCCGATGCAAAGTCCCCGCACTCCCCGATTCGATGAGCGCATCCCAACGCCCGTCCAGAGCGCCCGTAATGCGTTTACGGAAGTTGCGCCCCTTGTGACCGGTGCCGCCGCTCCCAGCTCCGAGAACCCGTATCACGTCGAGGTCGCAATACCGTCTCCTCGCGCTGCGGTCCCCGAGGTGCATTCCGCCGACGCTGGTCTGTCTCAGTACCGTTGCCGCAGCCCACTCCTCAGCTCTCACCGTGGAGAGCAAGCCAGCCCGACAGACAGCAGCGGCTACACGGAGTCGGAGGATGATGAGCCGTTCCCGAGCGTTCGCTCGCCCGCGCGTTACCACCAGTACCTTGGTACACCCCGCAGTGCGACGTTCCCCAGCCGGGGTGCGCCGTCTAGTGCCAGCGAGCTCACCTTCCCCAAGACCGCGCACCTACCTGGCCCCAGCAGCAAGTGGCCGAGCCACTGAGCCCAGTCTACTGTACTCCCTTCACGTCTTACGAGCCCCCAGATGACCACTAATGATATATTTATTGATGCACCCTGGACCGACGCTTCCCTCAAGTACTGTACCTCCGAATGCCACGATGGCCGTAATGTATCGTAGCTCTGATAATAGTGGCACCGCGATACACACGGTATCCGAGTTGAAGGTCATATGCAATAGATATTTGGCATACATCGCTCTCTAGGCATATTGCCCAAGGCACAAGGGTACAAGTCGGTAGCGTATCATTCCAGTTCAAGCTAGCTATAGTATCCCTAGGCTGGTGTATTAGAGTGTACTGTATGTAAGTATTAATGGCCAGTCATTTATAAGTAGCTGTTGAGATCTTTGAAGTGCGTACCTAAATTATTTATACGAGATAAGTTATCAAGGCGCTATAGCCAAGTGGTTACGGCGACAGATTAGAACTGAACCAGTTCATAGCTGAGTCGAACCAGATCTGTTCCTCTTCGAGGGCGCAGGTTCGAATCCTGCTGGCGTCGTTCTTTTTTCAGTTCATTTTTAGATACATAGATGGGGTTTTTTTGATGTGCCCCGAGGGTTGAAGTTGCGTGCAGAGAGAGAGGTTGGGCAGAAGTTCAATAGATTGTGTTACCGAATAAAGCATCTGGATGGGAATATTAGACGCCCATCCGACGCGTCGAGGCCGGTGGCGCCAGCGGCCAAGCGGGCTTGCGCATGCGTAGGTACTTTGTTTTTTTTCGGAATCCTTTCATTGTTCTCGAGGGCCGACCCCTATGTGGACAAGTCTCGTACAGCAGTGAAAAAACCCCGCTCTAGGTAGCTCTAACGGGGTGTGCGGAATATGCGCTGCGTATGTACTGTAACTTAGGCGGAGGCCTCACCAGGGCCTTACCGCGAGTGCTGCTTTCTGCCGCCGTCCGCTATCGACTATCCTTTCCCGTTCGTCGGTTTTGGTCCTCTCCGTGAGGGGTGCAAGAAATCATTTTGCAGGACGCTAGAACCTCAGGCTGGCTCCCCCCGCAATAGACAATCCCACAGGAGATAATCTTCAGAGTTGTATGGCTATTCAGCTATGTGACCGCTTAGTGCTTACCGGGCTCTCGTGTGCGTCTGTGATTTATCTATGAATATGTCTGCATACACGCATCGATAAATAGTCATTGCATAGTGTCCCAAGGGAGAGGACCGCCATAGACAGCAGTCCGGCCACCATCTGAGGACCCAGGACACCAATTCAACAATGGCACAAGCTCTGGCGACGAAGAATGGTACGAATGGAACCGGATGAAGGGATTCCGTGAGCGCCGCTTGGAGAGCAGCATGTCATGACACCCGTAGGTGTCGATGGTGTACGGTAAGTAACCGTTGAGTCTCTGCATCGGTTCTGGATTCAGCAACCTGACTATCCACAGACGGCCGAACGATATACCTCGCCTTCCTGGGCCTTGATCAACTCCTCGTCTTCCGCATCTATGCCTATGTAATGGAAACGTCCAGGAGGCCATCGAAGGGCTGCTCGATGGAGTTCCGTGAAGCGTTGCCTTTTGAACTCATAACCCACAACAGTTATGTGGGATGGGTAGCGGCCGGTGTATTCGTGAAAGCGCGCTATAGAGTACAATAAATTCTGGAACGAGTCAAGCGCGTAGTCTTCAGTAGTGGCTCGAAGGAGACCGGGTATTCGTGAGCTTGGCGTTGGCAAGCTCGGAATGAGGTCAGCAGCAAGCGCGAGGCGCATATACGATCCGGCTTCTGTGCTGGTTGACGTTGGTCTGGTCTGACCACTGTTTTTGACGTCAGTACAGCTACTTTGCACACGGCAGAGTGATTTGCACTCACCCACTGAAGATAAGCAATGAATGTTCATCCTCTTTTGCGAGCTCAGCCCTGCTCAAGGTGTAAGTTCAACATTCAACGCTTGCCGCGCCGCGGTAAGGTCACACTCACCCAGCTGCTATATGCCGGTAGAACGCATCAACACGCCCTCCCCCTCTCTGATACGGTTCCAAAATCCACTCCTCCTCATCTAATCTTCGTCTCACGTCCGTGCCCTTCCATATTGCGTGTCCCGGGACCATGATGAGGTGGTCAATCGTCGACAACACGTCATGACGTTGTATTGTTGATAGTATATCGAAAGGGAGTGGCCGATGAAGCGATTGATAGGTAGAATTCGTCGGCGAAGATAAATGATAGCTTAGGTTGAAGAGTAAGGACAGGACGGCGACACAAGTCAGAAGTGAGAGACCAAGGTTAGTGATCCGAGCTCGCGTCAGCAATGCATCCTTCACACTCCTCCGATGTCGAAGTCCACTTCTTGAAAGTCGACGTTTTCGGGATGAAGATATAGGCAGAGGGAGCATGAAGCGTAGGCTGGCGGGGACAACGAGTGTCTACAAGCCCGACCGTAGCGCGCGGCAACGCGCTGTATTGGGTAGCTCTGACGATAACTGAACCACGATCGAGTTACAGCTGAACCAAGTTGAACCGCAATCCTTATCTCGATCCATCTGAACGACGCTATCTCAAGATTCTCGACGCGGTTTGAGGTTAGTCTCCCGTAGGCAGCCCCTAAAGACGACCTTTTTGAAGGGGGGTGTCGGCGGTCGTCTGAGGGGTTGAGGTGCAAGGACGCTCACTGGCCCATAATACACGAATGCTAGCGCATGTGGTCTTTAGCATTCAACACCTTGCTGTTATTCACGCATAGAACTGTGGACCATATGTGCGAGCTTATTCAGACCTTCGTCTAAGTAGCGGGATCTTATCGCTATGTAGAATGTGACCACGTTCCCTACGCACATATCCCAAGTACGTGGTCGCACCGACAACGACGCTCACGAAAGAGGTCAAAGCGGCAATTCTGAACTGAGAGGGCTGCGAGAGTATCATTGTGAGGACGTACTGTGCCCGTGTTCAAGATCAATTAATCGACTACAGCCAAATTACCATGACGATGCTCACCTTCAGCATGTCGGCAATGTTTTGAAGAGAATATTGCAGGGCAGATCTGTTTGTGAGCACTCCGAGTCAATTTGATGATAGCCAGGCATGGAAGAGCATGTCACCCACATCGCATTCCGTCTCGGATGCGTCGCCAGTGCCAATTGCAATTCCTTCAACTGGCAGAGGTCAAAGGCCCACAGGCCTATCCTCGAGAGCATCATTCCTATACAAGTTCAGTGCGACAGTATCATGAGAGAATAAATTGCAAACCTCCAAATAGCAGGGCCGATTTCCAGGTTGGTCCATGTGCACTGGGTAGACTGCCGCCGACATAGAATGATAAAATGACCGGAAGCAGACAAATGGCTTCCGACCTCGAAATCGCGTCAGCGGTGCATCATATGAACCAGAGCCACATATTTATTTACCAGATGCTCCAGTTTCCAGCGCGCACAAGCCCGAGCTTCCTCTCCAAGAATGGCATTGCGACGGTCCCTAGAAGTCCTGCTACAACGTTGAGACCGCGCATGCCGGCGATAAATGGGTCGGTGTAGGATTCGGACTTGAGATAGCTGATCATCGTCCCGTCGAAGGCGAGGACCGTGAAGTAAAGGCACGAGATAGAGATTGACGACAGAAATATTGGATGTTGAGTGAACTCGCGCCAGTCCGAGAGGTTGTTGTGGAAGTACGACCTCAGATTAGTTCTGAGATTGACGAGCAGATCGGGCGTTGGCCGACTTCCCCGAAGCTGCGACTGCCTTCGGTTTTCGATTTCCTTGTCTGCCTGCGCAGCCTGCAGCGAAGGGAACCGTCGGTAGACGATGTCAATCCCTGAACCACAAGACGCCGTCAATATGAACGTATCGATGTGTTGACAATTCGGCACTTACACAGCAGCTCGAATATGACGCATCCCGCTTCCACGCCGCATAGGCAGTACGCAGCGATGATGTTTGAGGTCACACTAGTGAGCAGGGAGACAAATAGCGGCGCAAGAAGCTTGCACAACAAGTCGATGCGCCGCATGTACGTGTTAATCAGTGTGAGGTGGTCAGACGACCCCTGAGCGATGACCGTCACCCAATCTCTCTCAATTGCGACGGACAGCGCGACTCCGGAGATATTCTGGATGCAGCCGGATATGACGATGAGGGCGAACATCCCTCCTCCGAGCGGCGTCGACCATTCCCGAGTAAGCTGTTCATCGCTTGCAAGACGATAGAACAGAATCAGAGAACCTGCGTATGCTCCACAAGCTGATATTTTGACGGCGACGATGGAGAACCGCACCAAACGCAGGTTATTGCGAATGTCGATCTGGTGCCCTGCCCATCCTGAGAGAACAATGGCCGTTCCTGTTGTCAGGAAGCCAAATATAGAGGCGGGCAGGAGAGAGTCGGGGAACAGCGTAATGAGGAAGAGGTAAATTGCAAACTCGGCCGTACGCGAGCCCCAAGAGCTGATATTATATCAATAAGTGATGCCCGCGTTTGACATGTTCGGTAGTTACCTTGAGAAGTGTTGGATGAGAAGGAGAATGAGCGCCTTCCGGTCAAGAGGTCCAGCAGAGTTCGCCGTAGAGGCCTCGGCCGTCACAGTGGAAGAGTGAGGCGGCGTGTCACGCGTAGAGTCCGATACCTCGGGGTTTTGCTTCGAAAGTCTTGTAGAAATCGTCTCCAGTGCAGGACCAGCTACTGCTGGAGATGGGGGACGTCCTACACTGCCGCGGCTCTCAACCAATTCGACTTCGTCGACACGTGATATTGATGTGTTTGACATATTCCTAGATGACGCCGTTTAGCAGCGTACGAGCTGAAGCCATCCCTTGATGGCTATGGTGTACATATGCACCTCCAGAGACACTCGAGAGTGTACTTGTGTCCCTGATCGGTGCAATGTGACTGCAGCACAATAGACTACAATAGAGCACAACTTGAATGTGGCGCCACAATGTTCGCAGATTCTGAGCACACGGTAATTATTGATAGGCGCTAGGCACCCGGCGCGTCCCGGGCCGTGTGTCCACCAACACCAGCTGCAGTTGCAGTCACTGAGACATGATTCTCAAGATTCGACGGATATGCGTGGCCTTGTTTCAAGTCGCGACGAGTGAACTACACCAGATTGCAACTCGTTCGGAGAAGCAAGCGGATAGAAGGCCCGAGTCGATCAAGCATAGTAATAGCGCTAATGAGTTTTAAGCCTATGTATGAGTCATCTATTCATGTAGTAGAACACAATATGGGTCGGTGGCGGCATCCATTCACTATCTAGCTTTGGAGAATTCCCGTTCAATGGCCCACTTGACCGCCGTCTCAACATCCCTGGCTTGATGTGTTGGCGTGTGTGCTGGAGGACCCTGTTCGGGGTCATATACTCCTGTATGCACTAGCACGGATGACCAGCCTGCCGCGTTCGCCCCGGCTATGTCTGCATTGATCAGAGAACCTGGTGAGTGCACACGCGGATCTCGCACGACCAGACGTACATACCGGACTCGGGATTGTCTAGGTACGGTGATCTACTATGTCAGCCCCGTCGAACGCTGAGCGCTGTTGCCAGTCACGAA